CTCAAGCAAATATTTTTTATTTTACCATTCAGCCCAACTTAGCTTGCTTGACAAGCAGTTCTTTTATCAAGCCACACTCTTTCTATTTTTTCCATTCATCCTCCATTTTACATTCCACAGGAATGTAGGGCTGTTTTTTCAAGCCCTGCACCATGGTGTACTGCCCTTATAAAAGGATTCTTCTCTATGCCTTAAAACAAAAGCATGTGCATGCTAAGGGCCATATGATTAACAGTAATTATATAACAGAGATGGCAAAAAACTTACTGGTAAAATATCAAAGTATCCATTGTTTCCTAACTCTCCCTGACTGCCATTTTTATTATCTTTCTCACCAGACTTGACAGACAGTTGAGCAAACAAGTTTGTTGTTATAGACACCTGTGCATCATCACCTTTTGCTAAACTTTTCAATTCCTTATGCTGAAAGTCATTGCTAGTTGCTGTTCCATACAAAATAACGGCATCAAGTTCAGTGTAATAGCTGAGATGACTTTGATTGAACTCCAACCGAATTAATCTGAAATTAATACAAAATTGTCATTACCATATTTATTCGGCTAGAAGCCGCAACCCCAAACTTTGTACGTGTAGACTCGGCATAATGAGAACCAAAAATAAATCAAAAATACCTATAAGCCAAGACCCATTCATTATTACAAGACTGAATTGTTAACTAAAGGAAAACCTAACATTTTCTGAAAAAAACCACATTGATTCTCATAAATGAGGCTTTGACAATAACACACACGCATGTATACAAGAGGTGATTTAATATGCAAAGGGCAAAAAAATCTTCTCTCTCAGAAAACACACGCAAATTAATAAATATTACCCATAACTAACTATTCAATTGAAAGGTAACAAATCATAACTCAGATAAATTAATGTGATCCAAAATATCAATTTAAAACTAACTGTGTTGTTGAGTGACATCACCAGTACCTACACATCCGTAGGATCTAGCAACAATCTCATGTTCTCAATCATTTATTTCAAAATAGCTGTTAGTGGATTAAGGCAACATCTCAAGGCAAAAGAATTCAGCAAGGATCCTGAGTTTAAAAGTGTCCCTTGTCAGCCTTCACACCAAAACAACAATTGCATATTGTGTTTCTTTACTTTAGCTCGGCTTATAAGTAAATACATCCTGATTTAGTAGAGTTTCCATGCACTAGAAAAAAATTTTTTCTAAAACTTTTGGCTATAAGCTGAGACCCTCTCTAGAGCCCAAATTTTAATTCACTTCAGTTTTAATTTGTGTAAAAAATCGCTCAGCTTATAGTCAAATAAATATGGTATATGCAATTACAGTGTCTTCCTTCTGATAAACATGTCTGCTTTTAGCTGAAATTTAAATAAGCACCCAAACACTTAATTGAAGAAATATGGTATTCCACTCCCCCTACATTCATATAATTATCCAGATTTTATAGTGGCATGTGAATAATTTCAAAAATTACCATTTTAAGTTGCATGTTTGGCATTTCCAATTTTTTTTAATCCAAAAGTGCATAACAGCTTGATAAGTTGATCCTAAGTCCCATATAATTAATATATGCTATTGACGTCTAACACACAGAAATTAATGTCACAGAACACCAGAGACATATACAGTGTAACACAGAAATATTAAAACTCTTTCATATAGATTAAATGCTTTTCAAAGTAGCACACAATTTAAGCTTGTTTTCTCGATTTCCTGGGTTTCTTTTGCTAAAATTTGAATCAAACTTGTTGTGTTTAAGCAAAGAAAAACATTTTAAAACAATGTGAAAAAACTTTTATCGCTATTTGCAATCAACACCACAAAACTGAACTGTTGCTTAATCCTTGAAATAAC